AAGAGGAGTCCGCCAACAACGAAAACCAAGAGGTATGTATTTCTTCTACCGGTTCTTATTCTCTTGAAGAAATGCAAGAAGCTCTCCAAGAGCTTTATGACGAGTTTGTTAGCGCTTCTAAAACCAACAAAGCTTTAAAGAAACGCTTTTCTAATCTTGAAACTGAAATTGAAAAACTTCAAAAGGAAAACGAAAAACTAAAAGAGGAAAATAAATTTTATGGTAAAAGAAGCGCCGACAAACCCGAGAGCTCTACGAAACATTGTGACTCTTGCATAGCTTTGATAGAACAAGTTGCTGAACTAGAAAACGCGGTGAAGAAATTTAATAAACCACATAAGGATCTTAATCTCGTTTTTTATTCTATGCAATACACTAAACAAGGAATAGGTTTTGGGAAGATTGATGAACCTAAAAATAAAGAAAAAGTTGAGCACAATCGTAAACCACCTAGAGCTCAACCTAAGAAAGATAAAAATAAAAATAATAGACAACCTAGACAAAAGGTTAGTCATGAACACGAGCACTCTAGGCAACCTAGGAGGAATTATCAAAATGATTTTATGGACACAAATAATTTTTCAAATAGACAAAATAATGCTAGAACACCTAGAAGAAAGAATCTTCAAAATACCCAAAAACCAATATTTTCTCAAAATAGGATGAAAATGGTTAGACCCCCTAGCTATTACCAACCTAGGCATATGTTCAACCCAAATGTAGTATGCCATTATTGCAATAGGGTAGGACATATAGCTCCCGTGTGTTTCACTAGACATAGGCACTTGACCTTTAATGAAACACACACAATATTTAGTGCTGACGAAAAGAAATCCTTTGGAAAAGGATATTCGAATCATAAACAATCTCCACAGGATAGTGCACAAAAGAAACCGTATTATTTCTTCTACTTTGACGAAAAGAAGAAAGTCCACATTCCGTTACTGGAACCAACACAGACCACACTGAGATATCGGCACTCCGTTCGGGTAGACTGGAACCCGCCAACAACTAGACAATGGGTTGGCCAAGGTAACTCCTAAACAATCATTTAATTGTGTGTGTGTGTGTGTGTGAATTTTGGGTGTGTGTGTGGGCAATAAAGGTCAACTAACCCCCAAGGACCCATAGACATACTTTGGGCACCAAAATGTTATTCTTTTTTGCAGGGACGGTTCAAAGTGAAGAATTCTGGAAATTAGGGGGAACCAGCGATGGGTGGGCAATACCATCGCTGGGAGGGAAGTTTTCTTTTTTCGGAACCCCTCTTCCCATCGATGGGTAATTGACTCTATTTTTTTAAAAACCTTTTAACGGATTTCCAGAAATACCTTACTCATCGATGGGTATTTCATTTCATCGCTGGGTGAAGGACTTTTGTCGAAATTGTTTTTCAAGAAACACCCTACCCATCGATGGGTCTCTTATCCCATCGCAGGGTGAATGATTTTAGTTTCAAAAATTTTTTCCAGAACCTCCCTACCCATCGATGGGTCTCTTATCCCATCGCTGGGTGAATGATTTCAGCTTCAAAAATTTTTTCCAGAACCTCCCTACCCATCAATGGGCACTTTCTCCCATCGCTGGGTGTTTGACATTTTTTTTAAAATCTTTTTTAAACGTATTCCCAAAATCACCAACCCAGCGATGGGATGGTATTAACATCGCTGGGAAGGCTTTCGTCTTTTATTCTTCACTTTCCAGAACCCACCTTCCCATCGATGGGAGAGTCCACACATCGCTGGGAAGGCAGTCTGATTTTCTCCTTCGCTTTCCAGTAGCGACCATCCCATCGATGGGTAGATCCTACCATCGCTGGGAAGGCGGTTGAAGTTCAAAATTTCAGAACCGTTGGAGACAACATTTATGGCCCAACAGCTCTTTTTTTCAAAATTCAAACGGGATTTCCTCCTCTCCCTATATATTCACATCATCCCTTCCCTTCTTAACACACAATTAACATCATTATTTCATCTCTTTAGCCTATACCACTTATTTCATCAATCTTTCTTCAAAAACGCCTCAATCATGGCCGGAGGATGATCAAAGTCAAAGGCTTCAGAGAAGAAAAGCACCGCCGAACCCTCAAGCTCCGCGCCTCCTCCGTTCCCATATTTGGACGGATCCTTCTTGGAGTTCGGGTCGGAGGAGGAACTCAACCGGTTCCTCACGCACTTTGCCAAGCGTCCCATTTCTCCGCCTAGGGTGCTGCCCGAGTTGTACCCTTAACAAAAGGGGTACCACGACCTCGACAATCAGCTTCAAGCATCGGGTCTGTGGTCGTTCGTCTCCAGTAGTCGCTCGAGCTTCAATCTTGCCTTTGTGCGAGCCTTCTACTCCAATCTCCGCCGTGACGGGGACACCATTCGCAGCAGCATCAATCTCTACGACATAGAGATTGATTTGCCTACCTTTGCTCGGGTCGCAGGGCTTCCCATCCGCGGTGACGACATCGCAACCTATGGTGGCGACGATTGGATCCTCAACAACGAGGCGGTCGTCATTCGTGAGCTTGGGATCGCCAACTTGATCCGCCACAGCGGCGCACCGACGATTCACTCGGCCCCACCAGACAAGCGCCTCCTCCTCTACATCATCACCCGGATTCTCCGCCCCCGGGACAGCAGCCACACCTCGCTCTTCAACGAGGACTTGAAGGCGATTCATGCCATCATCCACGGCGCCTCCATCAATTGGGCGAAATTCGTGATGATCCACATGGCGGATTGCGCCTCCATCGCCACTGAGCGGAGCTTGCCATACGCCTTCCTCGTCATGGACCTCATCATCTCCGCCGACATCTCCATCGCCGGCCCGGATACGAAGATGACAAAGATTTGGATAATTCAAGA